GATGTCCAGCTGCCTACAGATGGGCTTTGGGTCTCCACTCTGCGTTCACCGTCATTCACAATGATATGATTTTTTGTTCTTTGATGCCTGATACCTGATCCCTTCGACACCTCATGATCACACTGTCACTCTTCCTGGGAGTAGGAAGCCTCATCTTTTCTCCCACAAAGCATCTGGTGGCTTCGAACTGCTGACCTTGCATGCAGCAGCCTAACACATAACCCATTATGCTACCAGGGCGCCTTCCTTCAGAGCCTGACTCGACTCTTGGTTGGCTTTGCTCCTCCTGCTGAGGAACCACACCTGACGTGGACACGAGGGGCCCTGAAGGGTGGCGCAGTGGTTAGGTGCTTGGCTGGTCACTGTGAGGTCAGCAGATCGAACCCACCAGCTGTTCCATTGGAGAAAGGTGAGGCTGGATGCTCCCAGCAGGTAGCCAGGGCCCAGGTAGTCTCTCTGTGAGTCGGAATCAGCTCAACGGCAGTGGGCTTGAGCTTTTTTGTTTGTTGGTTTAAGGTCCAGGACGGAGACCTTGTGTCCTTGTGTCAAGGGCCCAAGCTGTTAACCAGTTGGTTGGTGGTTTGAAGCCTCCCACTGCTCTGTGGAAGAAATCGGTGGCTGTCTGCATCCCTGAAGATGCCCAGCTTCCAATAATTTATAATTAATCAGACTTGGATGGGAGCGTGGGAGGGAGGGGAAAAGAGAGGAGCTGATACCAAGGGCTCAACTAGAAATTAAATGTTTAGAAAAAGGATGATGGCAACATATGTACGAATGTGCTCAATACACTCGATGCCTGGGTTGTTATAAGAGCTGTAAGAGCCCCGATACCATGATCTTAAAAAAAAGAAGCCCAGCTGTGGACACTCACAGGGACAGTTCTGTCCTGTCCTGTGGGGTCACTGTGAGTCAGAGCAGGCTCGATGGCACTGGATTAGGGCTAAGGAGGAGCCTGGTGACACCGTGGTTAAGCCGCTAGCTGCTAACGGAAGGTCAGTGGTTTAGGGGGTGGAGCTGCTCTGCAGGGGAAGGCGGAGGCTGTCCGTGTCCATGCAGATGGCAGCCGTGGAGGGGGGTGGGGCGCTTCTCTGTCCCACACGGCTGCTGTGAGTGGGGAGTCAGCTTCCTGGCTGGATCCACAGATGACCCGGCTGACAGCCAGCAAGGCCACGGGTCCTCTGTCCCCCTCACGCCCTCAGGAAGCTGGAGGCTGTCAATCCAATGAGCTCAGTGATCT